TATTTTGTCATTGTGAAAATAATTTGGTCATTGCAAAAATAATCTTATCACAAAAATAATACTAACACTGCAAAAATAATTTTACCACCAAAATGAACAATATTATCACTGCAAAAATAATATGGTCACTGAAAATTTAATCTTACCACTAAAATAAACAACACGACCACTGAAAAAATAATCTTGTCAATGAAAAAAAAAGAAGAGGGTGGAAGGAAGATTTTGATCGATCGATCAGGCTGTACCCTACAAGCTGCTATCTAACGATTCACAATACCCTGCTGAGATTGAAAAATCTCGATCTGGACGGCAGACCAAATTGACAGATCCTAGATACCCTGTTCAACCCACAAAGAAGTTACAATTAGGGCTCCTGTAATGGCTTCACCAGCCGGATGTAACCTGCAGTCTTTTTTAAGTGAGGGCAATAGAATAGGGTGTTTGTAAGGGTGATAGAAACCGGTAGGAAGCTAGCAGATCGCTTCCATAAACATCTCACAGAGGTTCGTAATGAGGCTCTCAAACCTGTCTCCTTCCATTTCAACACTTCTGACCATTAAAGTGAAAACGATATCTCAGTCACTGCTATTAAAACCTGCTATGGTGATCAAACCAGCCGCTACTCATTAGAAAATTGTTTCATCCATAGTTCTGGCATTCTTAGTCCTGGAGAGAGCGATATTCAACACAGCTTTATTTAATTTATTTACTTGTTCATATTTTGTCTCATCTTTTCACATATACCTTCTTTTTTTTTTATTTCGCTTTATATTACAGCCTTTATATTCCTACTTTTTCCCTCATTATGTATTTCCTGGTTTCATGCTGACCTTGGTATTTTATTAGCTCTGCTGTCTTGCGAGCTGAGTTTTTTAGTCATAGTTTATGTTGTATTTAGTACTCCAGTGATAAAGACAGGTCGAAAATTTAGGCTGTGTTTGTGTGCTTCTTTCTGATTTCCTCTGTTGAGCTTTCAAGTCACATTTTGTGTCATATTTAGCATTTCTTGCAGTCAGCTCGACTGGAGTCATCCCCCAATTACGTCAGCAGAGAGTGACCAGAGGATATGGCTGACAGTCAAACTCAGGGGACAGGCAAGACGGATGTATAATCAGACTGTTACACGAACAACTGGAGATGGAGCTTTGTGCTGGCTCCTGTTGATGGGGACAGAGTGTTTATGGGAATGTCACTTCTTAGTTCAACTCAGCAACTCTTTCTCCCTTTTCTCCTTTAATAAATTTAACAGCCAATATGCTCTTCGCATTTATTTTATTTGTACTGTTTACATTTATGTAACTTAATAAAAGCATAAAAGTAAAAACAAGTAAGAGTAAGAACAAGTAAGAGTAAGAACAAGTAAGAGCAAGAACAAGTAAGAGCAAGAACAAGTAAGAGTAAAAACAAGTAAGAGCAAGAACAAGTAAGAGCAAAAACAAGTAAGAGCAAGAACAAGTAAGAGCAAGAACAAGTAAGAGCAAGAACAAGTAAGAGCAAGAACAAGTAAGAGCAAGAACAAGTAAGAACAAGAACAAGTAAGAACAAGAACAAGTGAGAGCAAGAACAAGTGAGAACAAGAACAAGTAAAAACAAGAACAAGTTAGAACAAGAACAAGTAAGAACAAGAACAAGTAAGAGTAAGAACAAGTAAGAGCAAGAACAAGTAAGAAAAAGAACAAGTAAGAACAAGAACAAGTAAGAACAAGAACAAGTAAGAACAAGAACAAGTAAGAACAAGAACAAGTAAGAACAAGAACAAGTAAGAACAAGAACAAGTAAGAGTAAGAACAAGTAAGAGCAAGAACATGTAAGAACAAGAACAAGTAAGAACAAGAACAAGTAAGAACAAGAACAAGTAAGAACAAGAACAAGTAAGAGTAAGAACAAGTAAGAACAAGAACAAGTAAGAACAAGAACAAGTAAGAACAAGAACAAGCAAGAACAAGATCAAGTATGAACAAGAACAAGTAAGAACAAGAACAAGTAAGAGCAAGAACAAGTAAGAAAAAGAACAAGTAAGAACAAGAACAAGTAAGAACAAGAACAAGTAAGAACAAGAACAAGAAAGAGTAAGAACAGGTAAGAACAAGAACAAGTAAGAACAAAAACAAGTAAGAGTAAGAACAAGTAAGAGTAAGAACAAGTAAGAACAAGAACAAGTAAGAGTAAGAACAAGTAAGAGCAAGAATAAGTAAGAACAAGAACAAGTAAGAGCAAGAATAAGTAAGAACAAGAACAAGTAAGAGCAAGAACAAGTAAGAACAAGTAAGAACAAGAACAAGAAGAACTTTTCAAGAAAGTACAAGTAAGAACAAGTAAACAAGTAAGAACAGTAAGCCAGAACAAGTTAAGAAAAGAACAAGTAAGAGTAAGAACAAGTAAGGCTGATATGGTCAACAAGAACAAGTAAGAACAAGAACCTAAGAACAAGACACAGCAAGACTACATCTGGTACCCAAGTAAGAAGAAAGAACAAGTAAGAACAAGAACAAGTAAGAACAAGAACAAGTAAGAGCCAAGGTCAAGTAAGAAAAAGAACAAGTTGTAAAGTAAGAACAAGAACAAGTAAGAACAAGAACAAGTAAGAACAAGAACAAGAAAGAGTAAGATTCAAAGGGAGCATCTAAGAGTAAGAACAACTAAGAACAAGTAAGAACAAGAACAAGCTCCCAAAAACAAGTAGTAGTAAGAACAAGAAAGAGCAAGAATAAGTAAGAACAAGAACAAGTAAGAGCAAGAACAAGTAAGAACAAGTAAAGGAACCTTTTCCCCACCTTCAGGCAAACTGGGCATATAGGGCCAGCCCAACTTTTTTACAGACTAATTGGAATTCAGTGGCTGATATGGTCAACACGACGACAACTGCCTTTACTTCCCAGGACTACATCTGGTACCCACTCAAGCCTGAGCCGACCTGGGAGCCAAGGTCATTTTGTTGTAAAAAATCCTGTCAGTCGGATCCGAACCCATGACCTTCCGATTCAAAGGGGAGCATCTAGCCACTACACTATGGTGGCTCCCAATAAAAGTATAGTATGTGGGTAATCCTTAATGGCCGCTTGTGTGTGTGTGTTTGTGCATGTTTTTTTTTTTTTTTTTTTTGAAAAAAAAAAATAATGTAATGCATCCTTTGACATCTTATCTCAATGTTTAAAAGAAATTTTGCGACACAAAAATTTTTTTTTATAAACTAGTTATATGTAGGTATGTTTGTTATGTGTGAGTTCTCTGGAGGAGTTTTGACGCACAAGTTTGTTGCACGAGCATTCTGATTTATGACCTCTTAAAGGACTAGCATTTATCTTCTTCTTCTGCCTTTTATCTGCTGATGGAGCATGGACCCTCAACCAACTTATCTCAAGTACTTGTATCCTTTGCTACTGCATTCAACTCACCCCATGTTCTCATCTTTTCAACTTTATTCTCTTAAGTCCCTGAGGTTTTAATTTTTTTTTTTGTAATTTCTAAGCTTCTGTGGGTTCCATTCTAGTTATTCTGGTATCAGGTTTTCTCAACGTGTGTCCTATCCAACACCAGCATCTTTTCCTCACCTTTTTGTCCACCTGAATTTGTTTAGTTCTCTCCCAAATCTCAACATGATTGATTCTATCATATCAATAAATTCTCTCTATTCTGTGCAGCAAAAGTTAATGAATGTTTGTAGTTTACTAGTAATTATTTTAGTTGTTTTCCATGTTTCTGCTTCATACTGCAGTCCTGATGTGATGTTAGAATTAAAAATTGTAAACGTAGTTTAGTTTTCATTTCTTTTGACCTCTACAAATGTCCCACTCCTCGTCTTTTACATTTATATTTTAATATCTCTATCAGTTCCCCCATTGTTATCTACATTACTGCCTAGTTAGGTGAATGTACGACTCCACATCTCGCATTTATCAGGGTGAGGTTAGTGTACATACTTTTCTCCGGGTTCTCCTGGCCTGGCACCAAAGTACCATATCCATGGGGATTGTGCTGCAGAGCTCTTATTCTCTCCTCCAAATGCTGGAACTTCACATCTGCAGAGAGGCACATTGGGGATCCAAAAAGAGTCATTATTCAGCATAGTAAATATGGGTTGGCCAGGACTGGATCTAATTTGTAAATATTTCATATATGAATTTTTTACCTTCAATCCAAACTTCAACACCCGAAGACCTCAGAGATAATTAGCGAATGTGTACAAACATGCACACATCATCATCCTTTTGATGTACCGTTAATATATCACATAAAACTAGTGGTTTGTTCCTCCATTCCATCCCTCACAATCTTTTTAATGTCACAGCTGAATCCAGTCCAGGATTGTGCAGCTCCCCTCCACAGTGAGCACAGGGTTTCTCTTGGACTTGGTTTCCTCAATTCATTTCTTTCTCCTTTCAGTGCCTGTTTGTTTTCTCCTCATGATATGCCACATGTAGTAGTAATTTAAACAACCTCGTGATGTGTCTCATGTAGTAGTAATTTAAACAACATCTTATTCAACCCATCCAGATTATAATTAGGATGTAGCCTTTTTTTGTTTTTTTTTTGTTGCTATATCAATAATGGATATTTATGCCTATCAATTATGTTTGGTTATTCAATATTGCAAAGCTTATATATCGACTGTTTAAGACTGTAGGTGGATAGACTGTCAGTGTTAATAAATTTTAACTGTGTTTTCAAACAATTATAGTTACTCTATCTATCTCTGTGGATATTTAAAGTGATCTGGGATACAATTATTTTGTCAAAAGACATAAAAACACCTCATACACTAGCTCCTATTCTTGTGATGTACTGTTTAATTCTGCCCTGTAGTTGTCTACAGCATACACTCCCAGGATGTTTCATGCTGTCTTTGGCTTGTTGCGGTGGATCATATATTTATTTAGAGAAGTCCTTCGGAGTTCATGTGTGCCTAATAAATCACTATCACACAGATTTTCACAAGGTAAGGGATGCCATTATTACAAATAACACAGCAGGAAAAAAAAAGGAAATAATGACAAACTCACCCAGCAGCAGCATATGCCATTGGAGTTGCCAACGCAGCAGCAGGAAATGCATATCTGGCAGCCCCAGGCTGGTAGGCATTGGCAGCCGCTGCATATGGCTGACTTGTCACCAACTGAAATATCAAAACAGTTTATCGAGGTACTCCACATAAACTTGCAATACTCTGCACACCTCTACCAAACTCTTTTGGTACCAAATAACACATTGTGGTATGTACTCATACGTCATTATCTTTAGGTAGCAGGTCCTTTCTGGAATGTCATTCTCATCATGAAACCCTTTCTCTTGCCAGCTCTCCCACCTCAAGCACTTTCATATCCAAGCTGTCATTTTCTGTGCCATCTTCGTGTTGGTTAGCCCCTGCCCCTCCTCCCTAGTACAGTGCCTTCTGCTATTATTGGTTCCATATGTAGCAGTCAAAATATTATCATGCTTGCATATTTTATTTTTAGACAGGAGTTGGTGAAACACCCAACTAGACTACTTCCTGAAAGGATTGTATGTTTAGCTCCTTCGGATATAATATACCCATGACTTTGTCTCTGCTGTCATTACTGCTGGATTTAGGCTTAGCTATGACCTTTTGGGACTGAAAGAGTTAAGAACAACTAATAAAACAGTAAAAACTCCTCTAAAAATGTCTTTCATGACAAAATGGGAAAAAAATACATGAAGCAAACAGAAAAGACCGTTCTGGAGATGATCTACTCCATTGATGCTGCGAGGCATTCCTGGAGCAAAGGGAACAAAAATAAGATAGTGTCTAGCAAAAATATTACCTGGTAGCGTCCAGCTGCATCGATGGCAATAAATGGCTCTTGGTAGACACTGTAAGCAAAAGTAAAAGCCAAAACAAACATATTAATCTCAATGGAAAAGGAGGAAAAAATAACGAAGGAATGATAGAGATGAAAAGATATAGAAATACACACACAAACAAGAGAGAGAGAGAGAGAGAGAGAGAGAGAGAGAGAGAGAGAGAGAGAGAGAGAGAGAGAGAGAGAGAGAGAGAGAGAGAGAGAGAGAGAGAGAGAGAGAGAAAGAGAGAGAGAGTGACAGAGAGACAGAGAGAGAGGAGGCCTAGAGAGGACAGAGAGAGAATAAAGAATTATCATATCAGCTGTTTCCTTCATGGAATATATACATACATACATACATACATACATACATAAATACATACATACATACATACATACATACATACATACATACATACATACGGAGCCAGACTTATTTTTAAAAAATGACCTTGGCTCCAGGTTGACCCAGCCTTAAATGTGTACCAGGTAAAGCCCTGGGAATTAAAGGTAGCCAGCATGATGTTCACCATATTACGCACTAAGTGCTGATTGGTCTATAAAATACAGGTCTATCACTACAGGCCTAATACGCCTAGTGGTGCGAAAAAGGGGTCCTTACTGGTCCACAGAGTTGATATGACAGTACTCAACCATTTTTGAGGCCGTTAGGGAGAAGTACAAGGCTTACAGCGACACCTTCTGATGGTCTCCATTGGTCATTCATCAAAAAACACTTGTTACTTCACTAGGGCACTGTTGTCAACTGAAGGATACAAGTGAAAGTCCCAATATATCTATAGCTTCAAAATTTCATACTGTCTAATTTCTACTGAAATCTCTACACTGTTTTCACACATCTTCTTTGGTGCTTTATTTTTTTTCTAACCTTAATTTATTTTCTTAGATGTAGTTTAGCAAAGGTTCCATTGCAAACTTCTTTCCTGATATTGTACTTTCTGATCCTATCTCTTCTAGTTACTTTTAGGATACATCACAGACATTTTATTTCTGTTGTTTTGAATTTTCTTTTTCTTTTGCTATTTAATGTCCATGTTCGACACTGGTAGCACAATGTTGGTCAGTTTGTTCACTATGAGTGCCAATATTTTCTCTCTATATGAGCCACTATTTTCTCTCTATGAGTGCCAATATTTTCTCTTCATGAGTACCAACATTTTCTCTCCATGAGTACCAACATTTTCTCTCCATGAGTACCAACATTTTCTCTCCATGAGTACCAACATTTTCTCTCTATGAGTACCAACATTTTCTCTCTATGAGTACCAACATTTTCTCTCTATGAGTGCCAATATTTTCTCTCTATGAGTACCAATATTTTCTCTCTATGAGTACCAATATTTTCTCTCTATGAGTGCCAATATTTTCTCTCCATGAGTACCAACATTTTCTTTCTATGAGTACCAACATTTTCTCTCTATGAGTACCAACATTTTCTCTCTATGAGTACCAACATTTTCTCTCTATGAGTACCAATATCTTCTCTCTATGAGTACCAATATTTTCGCTTATCAGTGCCAATATTTTCTCTCTATGAGTGCTAATATTTTCTCTCTATGAGTACCAATATCTTCTCTCTATGAGTACCAATATCTTCTCTCTATGAGTGCCAATATCTTCTCTCTATGAGTGCCAACATTTTCTCTCTATGAGTACCAATATTTCTCTCTATGAGTGCCAATATTTTCTCTCTATGAGTGCCAATATTTTCTCTCTATGAGTGCCAATATTTTCTCTCTATGAGTACCTATATTTTCTTACGAGTACCTTTATTTTCTCTCTATGAGTGCCAAATATTACTTGCAAATTTATTTTGTATGTTTGACATGCAGATGTGATGGACTACAGGAAGTGCTGCTCCAAGGCTCATGCTGGTCAAGACATGGCTTATCGAAGTCATCCTAGAAACAGGTTCCATACTGGGGGCCTGGCCAACATATTAGGATCCAAATTTCCTTTAAAGTCAGAATGGATCTGTCTGAGAGACAAGGAACCAACAGTCTGCACACAAATAGGCCAGACATGTTTAATGGTTTGCTCACAGAATTCAAGTCCTAGAACAAGGACGAAGTCCAGAAGTGGAAGAACAGCCAGAATTTTCTACCAGAGTTTAAAACTGGTGAACTCTAAGAAAACAGTTTTGTACATAATTTTACAGAACTCAAACGTTTCCCCAAGACCTCCCATAAGAGCTCACTCTGAAAAAGCTTAAAAACATTCAATGATCATGACAGAAAACAAGACATACAGTGACACTGAAATCTTCCCAACATCTAAGCACAAGTGCAGACATAATTCCACAGAGTGACACTAAAATAATAAACATACGTAGCATATGGGAAAGCAGTCGGCGCCGCAGCAACTGGTGTTGCATGACGAAGCCCTGCAGCTGCTGCAGCTGTGTAGACACCCCCTAGGGCCCGTGCAGAAACAACTGTTGGTGCTCTCCCCCTGGTCAAAGCAACCCCTCTCAAGGCTGCCGCAGTGACTGAATCTACATATGGGTATATTAATAGTCAGTACAAATAAATAAATAACAACCATAAAAATATTAAACGGAATCAACAGGTATGATATTTTCTACCGATACATTTGTTCTACTTAGTATCTAGTTAGATCATTATTCAACCAAACTATGTGTGCATTCCAGATATCAACTCAAGCTGTCAGAAACACTCCTTGTGACCATTCCATCTAGACCAACTCATGAATTCTGTTATTCCACCAATAGCGAGCAAAGTACAAATCATAAAATCATTATTCAAGGCTGGCCAATAGCTACTGTAAAAAAAAAAAAAAATTCAAATGCAAAAATGTAATTTATGCAGGCCATGTGTGTTTATCAGTATAAAGTACTTTTATTAGCAAAGCTTTTATAAGGAGGAGAATATTTCAAACAATTTTTGGGTTTGATTCATTCAACATTTGACAAATGATGGGGAAGTGAGACATGCTGATCTGTAAAAAAAAAAATGGCTTCAGTATTGCGTCTGCTCAATTTAGGGTTATTTGTATCACTTTCAACCCTTCTGAAAATAGAAGGTATACACAATATGCCAGGCTATCAAATGACTATTTCCAAAATGCAGTTCATATTATTGAAAATTATGCAACTGGGGAGAAAACAGTCTAGATAGTAACTTTCAAAATCAGACATTCAGACACTTGTACAAAGGACATGCCAGGAATTTTGAGTATTTTTGTTTACACTTAGAGATGCTTTCAACAGTTATTTGTCAACCAACAGATTAAATTATTTTTTTTTTTAAAATCTGCATCTTCAAACACTCAGCATGACGACGGACATTCACATAAGATGAGATCAAATGAAACCTCTAATGAGAAGTCTTATCAATGCCTTTCCAAACAAGTTGCAAGCTTACAAATATTTGTTACAATAAAAATGGAAGCACTGCTCAGTGAAACCTGGCATATATGAATCCAGAAACAATGCCACCCCTAACATTTCTGTAAAATTTTATAAACTACATTTTATTTCATTTTTGATCATCATAGTTTCAGATAAATATTTTCAAACTTGCACCTGCATTGAAAATATCTGAGATGAAAAACATATCTGAGATGAAAAGGGAGAAGAGAAAGAAATGGTGACCAATGTATTCCCGGACATGGAGAGACTGATATCTTACCGGCAGACAGTGTAGGGGTAGTCACCTTTTTGGTCATGACTCGTGCAGTTGCATTGTTAACCTATCAGCAAGAATGATGGTTGGGTCAAAAACAAATGCCAATCAAAATGCAGGTGACCACGATATCCAGCCCAAGAGACAGAAGCTTTCATTTAATGCTTTTATTTTACTTTTACAAACACTACAAACCCCCCCCCCCCCCCACCCCCCCCTACCACTCTCCCCACCCCTCCCCCCTTATATCAGCTGCGGACAGTTTGTCTTGCATTGGTTTTGACAGTGGTACCAAGAGCTGACCATTCAGTAAGAAATGGCGAACTAAATGTAAAATTTGCCTAGAAAAACCATAAATGTTAAAAAAATGCTACGGTTGGTTCTGCAAATCTGGTGAGGTAGGACATATTCATTTCCGCCCCCTTACTAAAACTGTTTAAAGGGTTGGGATGAACCTAATGAATATTGATTATCCAAAACCAAGGTTTCCCATAGTTTTAAAATTTGACAACAGTGTTTTATTTTGATAACAAAATGTATTTCATTGGTTTAAAATGACTCTTGGGCTAGATACTGTGGTGCTGATACTTTGCAAATAATCCACAATACACTACCAAACAATTCAATGGAACAGTTTTAGCTTGCTATGACAAATTTGTAACCAGACATCTGAAAATGTGTTAGCACCATTTCTGAAAAAGTTAAATCTGCAAATTAAAAAAAAACATCTATGTTTTGGGCAGTATTAACTTGTCTATAAAAGGCTGATCAATTAAATGATTTGAAAGAATATACGCTCTGAAATACTACACATTAGAAAAACAATGGAGGCTATCTTGTCATGTGAGCTGAAATGCTGCCAAAACATTCCTTGAACAGGATGGATGAAAGAAAAAGTATAGACATTCTAAAAGACTTGTATACCAGAGAAAACTGCCTCATAAATAGCATCTTGTCTCGGAAACTGAAGTAATTTACCTATATAAAGTGACGAAATGACTGAAAGAACAGTATTGGAAAGCATAGTGCCCGAAAAGATAGGCTGGGGCTGATCAGCACATAGACTGCATATTTACCACTTCTGCGGTATAGGCAGAGAGGTCTTTGAGTCTGAGGATTTAAGGCCTCAATCGCCAGTGTTGTCGCCATGAACTGTGCAGTTTAGGATTTTATTTTTGCCACCAACGGAAAAAATCCCCACCTTATCAAGGATCTGAACATGGTTTTCCCACATGAGCCCTGAATTCTTATCCATCTGGTCAACACAGATGGGCACGGGACAAAAACAAAGGCATCTAGGGCAGGAAAATGCATAAGGTAACTTGCTGATAGAGGAGTCAGCTTCCTTCAGACAGTGACATTCTGTAAGTGACATGCTACATGATGATGATGAAGATCAGTAAATCAAAGAATCTGTGCACTGCCAAATGCACACAGTTACTGGATCTTGATTTAGTTAAGAAATGAAAACATTTTGTTACACTTATCACATCAAAGAAAAGATAGGGGAACCAGATAAGTAAGAACTTCACACAACGAAGAATAAAATATGCAGTACTTCAGCCTTAAAAACAAAAATAATAACTGTTAAATAGAACTAGCACAAGTATTTGGTATGAATAATGGATGACTGGGCAAACAGGCAAGAAAAGCCACTAACATGAAGATACACTTTTCAAATGAAACGACCTTCCTAATAATGTTGGGGGAGCGGGGGGAGGGAGGGAATAAAACTGGTTGAAAACAAGTAATTGATTTTTGCCAAATTCTAGAGGTATACTGTCAAACAATTTTGAGCACATAAAACTTCAAAAAATTCAGAATTTAGCTTTGTTTAAATAAAAAATAGGAAATGTGTTAAACTGCAATGTCATAACAAGCTTAAAGTGACAATTAAATAAAACAATCTAACAGTAAAAAAAATGTAATATATCTAATCCTTATCTGCCCGCTTTTCTCAAAATATAATCAATGGCAATACACCAATCCTGGCCTCCTTACAATATTATCTAAATTTAAATGAAACATGTTAAATGTTGAGACCAAACCTACAGCTAGTATTGGCAACTGTCAAAACAGTTTCTGTCAATTGTTTACTTTACATTTTAATGTTCTCTATTAATCAATCAATTAGGTGCCATCTTCACAATGAAGGTTGGCTGCAATGGATCTTCAAAACGCTCTGCTCTTGTCTTGGTTGTACACTCTCTCAGACTGCTGTTTGTCCCTCTCTTGATGCTGTCCTCTCAGTTGTATCATTGTTGTCACTTCCTCTCTTTCTTTTGATTTTTCCTTCCAGTACAGTTTCGATAAGAGTGTTATGTCATTTAAAGTATCTAAAATACTTCAACTGTCTTTTTTTTTTTTTTAAGGCAACTTTATTTTATTGCTAACCTCTTCAGAACTGTTGTGTTTGATTTTTTGCTTCTATTTTTTTTTTTTTTTTTTATGAAATACAACCCATTCTTCTGTATATGCATATGCAATACATCAATTTAAAATATGACTTATGGCCTCTTGATAATATTTTCTAACTTTAATTTGAAACATGTTTAATGTTGTGACCAAACGTACAGCTAGTGCTGGCAACTATCAAAACAACTTCTCTTAACTGTTTACTTCATGTTTTAATGTTCTCAATCGACCAGGTGATGTTTCCATAATAAAAGTTGGCTGCAACAGATTCCAACATTCTCTGCCTCTTGTCATTCGTCTGATCCCTAGTTTCTCCAGAACATTTGTATTTGATTTTTTTCGTCCCATGAAATACGACCTATTTATCCACATCAAATGTAATACATAAATTTAAATGTCCCTTCTGGCCTCTTTACAATATTTTCTCAATTCGATTGAAACAATTGTAATGTTGTGACCAAACGTAAAGCCGGTACTAGTAACTATCAAAACAGTTTCTCTAGACTATTTACTTATTATTTTAATTTTCTTGATCAATGAGGTGCCATCTCCACAATAAAGATTGACTGCAATAAATTTCCAACAAGCTCTGACTCCTGTATTGGTAGTACACTCTCTCAGACTGCTGTTAGTCCATCTCTTGATGTTGTCCTCCCATTTGTATCACTGTCTGCCAATTGCTCTCTTGCTTTGAATTTTTCCTACCAGTATGGTTTTATAAAAGTGTTATGTATTTTAATTTGGCCAATATATAGTTTTTTTTTTTTCCCCGTCTCTTTTTATCCCAAGTCTCATCAGAACCTATGAATTTGACTGACCTATTCTTGTGGATCTCCACTTCCCAGTTTGATTCTACATTTGCTTATTCACTGTCCAGGTTTCGGTACAGTACAGTTGGCTATATATACAATTTGATGATTCTCATTTTGGTTTAATATGTTCTTTATCACGCTGGATGTCAGTAATTTTTAAAACTGTTGAAAATATTTGTAGCCATTCCTATTCTCTTTTCCATTATCAATCACTTCACGTTTTATTAATTATTTAATACTGAATTTATTGTTCTACTATGTTTTAAAGAAGTAATAAGTAGCTTGAAATGTTACTAAAAATGAAAAACTGCATAGACTCACCTCAGGCTCTTGTAAGGTCTACTTATGACTAATGTTTATATTATTATTCACATTCTAGATACAAGTATGAATACCATATTTACTGGAATAATAATAATTAACATAAGATATATTTATTTATCCAAATGATGTGTCTGAGACAGCATGTAAGGTTTACAATTAAACTATATCACTATGTATTTACATACTAGTGAAACTGTAACATTAAACATTTTTAAAAAAAGGAATTAGTAGTTCTAGCAGTAATTAAGTAAACAATCTTACAGCATAAAGAAATGCCATACACATGGAATTATGATGCACAAATGTCTACAAATGAAGAAGAAACTTGGAAGAGTTGCCATTGCGTGCGTTCAGAACAGCTGGGCATTTGGGAGATCTGCACATGTAAAAATGCACAACATAACATACTTGGCCTACTTAAGACGGCCTTATTCAGCATGGTGTTTCCTCTCCTGGATTTGGTAGAGTTTCAGAATGGAAAAAAAATAATGTGTGAGAAACACATGTGACATGAGCCAGTATCATAATAAGGTTTTGTTTGTGCAATGATGTTAACTCCTGATTCAAATGGACCTGTGTCAAACACTTCACATTATATAACAGAAACACAAAAAGGAAATGGGATCTATATGGATATACTGAGCGTCTGATACAACACACATGTAGCCATCAAAGACAAAATATGTAGGTGATTCTATAAAGGGATGAAAGAAATATAATGAAGACAGGCATTTCTCCATACTGCAACACTGATGATATACTTAGCATTGGCTTGAGTAGTGCTAGCACAAAATAGTAATGTAACATGCAGGCACCTCAATCTTTCGTCCCTCAACCACAGTGCCGTTCAATTTCTCACGTGCTCTGTCGGCATCACTGCTATTTGCGAAAGTTACGAAACCGAATCCCTGCATGCATAAGGAAAACAAGGGGCATGCATTAAACGTGCAATGAAAACATTAACATGATCATTATGTTCAATCAGATAGCAATGTTACAAAATAACAATTCTGTTACATAATTTTTTCTCATGACCCTTACAATGAAGGTTCAACAAAGACATGTAAATGCAACATCCAAATGGGTCAATACAAAAACAGGACAAATACCCTTCAGTGTGATTGTCTGTCTTGTTGAAATGTGATTTTGTGACTATAAAAGAAAGTGAGTCATGTATGTAAGTATATATATGTACGTATGTATTGTACTGTGAAATATGCATGCCTTTATCTTTATAATTTTATTTCAGTATTAGTTAATTATTAATTGTTGCACACATCAACCATCAATCAGTCTGGTCAGTTCAGTTGGGATGTTCAAATGTGACATTAGCTGGAGGGATGACACAACATGCTTACTGCACTAAGCGACATGCTTTCATGCCACTAATTTCACAGCTTGCTGAATTTGATAACTTTCTTAATTGTAAGATGCCATTGTGTACATTTGTATTTCACAGCAACCACTCACAAAAGAAAAGATTACTCTAAAAAAATGAAAAACGTGTCTGGTGTCCAGTGGATGAAAATGAGTTCTAATGGATAAAGGAATGTCTAATGGTTAGTTATGAATTTACATTAGGGACTTATGGGCAAATCCATTGGTGTTTTGTCTTGAGTTATAAGAAATATATCCCGTGTATGAAGCTTAGGCATTATGAACATCGTCATAATTCTGAAATACCTAATTATATTCCAGCTGTGGACGATTTGGCAAAAGACATTTGCTCTGACCGTTGAGGAACCAATGGCAAACTACAGGGTTTTCCTTTGAGATCTGACCTCTAACAGTTGAACGACATTTTTTTCTTCTGAAGGTCAATCCAAACTGGCATTATAACCAGCCATCAATTTATTAACACGTCAAATTAATGTAACTAAGTGATGCAGTGAGGAGTGACGAGGGAATGCGGCCGATACTCGACGCTCAGATGAAAGGCAAGTTGGACATATAGTCAGACTGCTACTGGCATCATTGGTATTGGAACTCTGCATTGGCTGCTGAAGATGGGGATGGAGCACTTATGGGAATGCCCCAAGTCCTGAAATGTCAGTTCTTGAATCAACTCAACTCAGCTCATTAATTTTATTAGCAACAATTACAAATAAACTGTATTTTATTAGCAAACAATTACAAATAAACTGTATAAATCCAGCAATGATGCATTTTAACAGTAAAAAATATTTATTATGCAAATTTCTTGTGGCTACAAAAGGATGTAAGCCATAGATCATGGAAAGATGTAAGCCATAGATCATGGAAAGATGTAAGCCATAGATCATGGAAAGATGTAAGCCATAGATCATGGAAAGATGTAAGCCATAGATCATGGAAAGATGTAAGCCATAGATCATGGAAAGATGTAAGCCATAGATCATGGAAAGATGTAAGCCATAGATCATGGAAAGATGTAAGCCATAGATCATGGAAAGATGTAAGCCATAGATCATGGAAAGATGTAAGCCATAGATCATGGAAAGATGTAAGCCATAGATCATGGAAAGATGTAAGCCATAGATCATGGAAAGATGTAAGCCATAGATCATATGGAAAGATGTAAGCCATAGATCATATGGAAAGATGTAAGCCATAGATCATATGGAAATCACCAAGAAAACTGATTCTTTTGAACTAAAATTAAATATTGCAGAGAAATTCTTAGAATATTGTGGATGAACAAAAAATACAAAATATGAAATTTAATAAGGAATGAATAATGAAACAAACTGTCTCATAAACAGTACCATATCTTCAAATTCACATTTTGTTTGCTTCTCTTGTTTGCTTCTCTTTTCAAGTGCACATTCACTAATACAAGAAATTGAAAGGAAAGTATGAAATCCAATAGCTCTTTCAGCACCAGAAGGTTTCATAGAAGATGCCAAAGAAATAAATATCCATGAATAAAATTTACCATCTCATTACTTTTAAAACAGTAATTTAAATGCAGCAGTGAACGCCGGACAAGCCAGATTTCTTGAGTATGTTCTGACCAACAACAAAAGTAAGAGAGCATATTAAGCTAAGGACAGGATTCAGAAGACAGGATGCTTCACACATCATACGTTGTTTGGAACTCAAAGAGTTAACAGAAAACTCCTCTCATGATGTATTCTACACATATTGTCTGTAGGACAACTTTATCTTGAAAGCACCATATAACAATGAACCAGATGTCTATTCCTCTATTGAAAGAATATTTATAGTATTTATGCAGCTGAGGGAAGGCAATGTCTTTAAAGAAAATGAATGAGCTTAAGTCTGAGGTGTCAGCTAAAAGACGGAAATAACAAGCTTATCTGTAAACAAACAACAGAAACTAATCAAAGAACAGAAACTAATTTCTTTCTCGGGATGAGCATGAGAGAAGAAAAATATGCCCAAAAGGCTCTGATATATCTTCTTCATTCATTTGTCTCCTTAATGCCTTTCATCGTCAGGGTAGGAAGCAGCTTCAGGTTAAGACCTCTGTTTTCCTTTTGTAAAAGAGGATGTTCATTTCCACTGCTGTTCCAGTAGTCTGTCTCTGTCAGCGTCTGCTTCTATTTCTGTTTCTTCTAGAGCTTTACAAAATCAGACTTGCAAGGTGTCTTGGAGAAGTAGCCATACTTGCAAGGTGTCTTGGAGAAGTAGCCAAACTGCTTCTCCTGGGTTGAACCACCTTTTCCCTTCCAGTTATTATTTTAAAAATATTCACTTCTGGTATTCATTGCAGGCAGTTTATATGTATTGTCGCATTCTTCTTTAATCTACTCCAGGTCATTTTAATCAGTGGTGTGTTTAAAACTGCATACAGGCATAAAAGCTGTCACAAGTGGTCATTTATCCCTGACAATTTTAAGTCTAACACATCATCGTCATCTCATTTGCCATGGCATAAGTATAGGCTAACATGTTTTACAATCTCAATGATTCCAGAATCACAGATTACGTCACTGTTGTTGTCTCAGCCCATCCATATGGCTAAGCCATTCAGGTATTTATCTCTCTGCCTTCTCCTTGCTCTTTCTGCATCTTGCCAGTTGTTGCCAGGTCTCACAAATAGCCACCAATAAATATCCAGTGCCAGATTGTAATTTTAGGATGCTATATAAACACTGATAAAATTATTTATGAGTATGTGCTTTCTTCTTTTTTGCAATAGTTGTCAAAAAAATAAAATTACTTCTGAGGATATTTATTTGTGAAACATCATTAAAAAAAATTAGGTTGTTTCCATATTTTATTAAATTACTTACTAAAATGTTTTAAAATTTAATTTCTGATCATGTACATGATTTTGCTAAGATGTCCGAAATGTATGGATCAGTATTTAATTTGTTTATCTGGTCTAGAAATGTTTTGCTCATATCTGATAGAAATTTCCAGCAATCAACTACTCTTCCTACAGGCATGCCATCAACCAGTTAGTTAAAAAGTTAACTGTTTTGAAACACTGTGAAACAATTATGTATTATTACATTTTATCATCCGGAAGGAGGTGTGTTTGCTCCCTGGCGGAGCCGGACTTTTTAAAAAAATGACCTTGACTCCTAGGTCAACCCAGCCTTGAGTGGGTACCGGATGCAGTCTGGGGAAGTAAAGGTGGCCAGCGTGATGCTGACCACATCAACCATCTTGTGCCGATTGGTCTATAAAAATATAGGTCTAGCCCTATATGCCCTATATGCCTAAAGTCGTGGAAAAGGGACCTTTACTTTACTTACATGTTATCATCAGGACTAAACAAAATGAACATGACTACAACCAGGGCTTGTATTTTCTAGAATAAAAGGAGCTGGTAATCACGATAAAATACCTTAAGAAAGGTACGGGTACACAGTTTATGCAGACCCAAATGCTGAGTTTAAATTCCATCAAGGGTGATCTGTAACTGATTTGTGCTCCCTGATTAACACATATGCCATGACAAAAGGCTGTCAAGAAACTTCGTTTTTTCTCCCAGTTTCCTTCTTCTCATAAACAAAACATGATGACTGTCTCTTTCTGATGTTTGTGATCAGCTGTCTTGAAGCCCTTGCCTCTTTGGAAACATCTGGGATGCTCTTTTTGAGCTGTCCAAGAAAGTCTAATTATTCTGAAAAACCACATTTCTGAGGACTCAAGAAATGGTCTGGCTTGTTTATTAATTGTCCAGGATTAATAATATAACTTTATACTTTATGAAAACAATTTAATCTTGGCTCTTTTCTAAATAACTTCTTTTACCTGAGAAGTGTTAGCATACATGTGAAAAATAATTCACACAAAAATTATTAGTTGAACCAGTTTCAAAGGTATAGATTTTCCTACATATATTTCCATAGACTATATCTTTTGTACTGTGTTTCTGTACTTTTGAATGCTGACAGGTTCTACTTACAGTGAAAATCTCAACTGACAGAAGATACGAGAAATTGGAATCCAAGAGTATCTTTTAAAGATCGCTTCAAAAAATGTGAAGACTTAAACCTATATCAACATTCCAATGGATAAAATTATTTTATTAAAAAATACTTCTTAATGCTGAAATAGCAGCTTATGAAAACATTTATTTAAAAGTTCAAGGTTGTCTCATGTGTTGAGAACTTTCAAAAAACATCAACTCTACAGAAAAGAAGGAGAATTTTAACGACTGTGCCTGCTGTGATTTTTTGTTACAGGAAAAACAGGAAAAAATCTGGATAAATCATTAGGTTCTGACAGAGCCTGACTTTTTAAAAAAAAATTACCATGGCTCCCAGGTCAGCGCAGCCTTAAAGGGGTACCAGGTAAAGTCCTGAGAAGTAAAAGCAGCCAGTGTGATGCTGACCACATCCCCCACCAAGGCCAATTAGTCTATAAATATAGGTCTACTTCTATATGCCAATAGGTCTAAAAGTGTGGAAAAGAGTCCTTTGCTCACGTTTTTTTTTTTAATTTTTATTTA